TGTCGAATGCAGTGCCCGTTGCCAGCTTGATCATGACATCTGCCTGTAACTGAGAGATAACACCTTCTGCCTTCCACAGGTCTATTGCCAAAGCCAGAAACTTGCTGAAATCAATGCCTGCTTTGCCCAGCTCGCCCTTCAGCCGCGACCGCTCGGAGCGGCTGCCGGCGGCGGCGCACCGCTCAGTGAAGAAGTCCTTGAACTCCTCCCAGAACACGATGGAATGGCAAAAGAACTTGATCTCGTGGGAGTAGCCTGACTGAACGGCGATGGCGACGCGCGCCTGTGGATGTGCTTCACAAAACCTTTCCCACGAGTTGAAGCGCGACTTCAGCTGCTTAGCTTGGTTAGCTGCACCGCTCAATAGCGGCGTTGGACCTAGAGCCTTGCTGCCGGACTGGGCACCATGCTCATGTGTGCTCATGGGGGTTGAGTTCGTTGGAAAAGCGTATTACGGTTGCTGGGATGCCAACAGAACAAACGGGAGGGAGAATGATGCATGATTGAGGATGATGTCCCCAATGACCCTCCAGGTGGGGGGCCATCATGCCCATCATGGGGCACATCCTTACCGGGAGGCCTACCTGGGCCAGGAGGGGGCAGGTGCCAGTGCCCGCCCACTGATGGCGTCCGTCACTGCCCAGCGGTTGGAGCTGTGCCGGCCAACGCCGGGGGCGCGTCACTGAGCGCCCGCCTGGCCTGCCCTTCTGTTCAGCAAGGCGCTGCCGGAAAAGGCTGCTGTTCCCGTGCACCTCGCCTGCCGACACAACATATCGGGCTGCTGGCGCCACCAGAGGGCCGTGAGGGATTCAACCTTGTGTGTTGGTTGATGGATTGCGGCTTGGAGTTGACAGAAGGTGCCTGCATGGGGCCCTGAACGGCCTGCTGTGTCGCCAGGGCGCGCCCGATGTTGACGTTCTGCCTGCCGGCTGCCCATATCCATTGCGCCCTCCCCGCACCGCATTGTCGTGGAAGCCGCAGCTGTCGCCCTGAGGCTGCGTTGCTGCCTTGGCGTTGTGAGGGCTGCTGCATCGCCCGACAGCTTGCGGAGGCAGACTGGGGCGTGGCTTACTGCATCCTGAACGGTGTGCTGAGCTGCGTGCTGCCGCTGCAAGCCCGCCAGTTAGCGCTGGCGAGCTTACTGGCACCGACGGCTTGCCCCGCCCACCTCGACCTGCTTTGCGCTGCGCAAAGAAGAGTCTTCTTATCCTATTGCAAGCTTTGAATTGCGATTGATCAGCTGCCGCTGCCTGCGCCGCTGAGGCGGTCTACTATGGCTCTGCTCTGCCGCCGCCGCCGCCTATGCAGCTGCTCCGTTGTACTCATCACCCCTTTTCTGATGCGGCTGCTCGCCATCGCATCTGCCCGACAAGTGCATCCTGGCTGTCCGCCCCGCCTGCCTGCAGTCGACGCATCCTTGCACCGCGAGGCACCCTAGCGGCCACCCCAACAGCAGCGGCGGCGCCGGACCCAGCCCCCAGGCGTCCTTCTGCCCTCCTCGCCGCCTGCCATGGCGCAGCTGGCGCAGCTGGGGCGCACGCTGCTGGCGCCCTTTGCCAGCGTGGCCGGCTGGTACAACCGCACAGCCCAGCTGCACCCGCTGAGCACCGGCGTCGTCACCACCGGCCTGAAGACTAGCGCCGCCGACATCTTCGCCCAAAAGGTGCGGGCTGGATCGGCTTATGTTTTTTGTTTATGCCAGCTCGCTGGCGTGCATGAGCGGGCAGGGCTGGACGGGTCTGCCGCTGCAGCCTGGGCCAAGGGAAGCAGCCAGCAGCAGAGCAAGCGGTGCCGCAGCAGGGGCCACCTCCCCCACGCACACGCCGCCCGCTCTGCGCCCTCAGGTGGTGGAGGGGCGCGAGGACTTTGACTACACCCGCCACGCCGCCTTCTGCGCCTTTGGCTTCGCCTACCTGGGCGGCTTCCAGTACTGGCTGTACAACGTCAAGTTTGCGCAGTGGTGCGGCCCGCTGACGCGCGCCTTTGGCCACCGCGCCACCGCCCCCATCAAGACCTTCATCGACCAGGGCATCCACCACCCGCTCATTTACTTCCCTTCTTTCTTCACCATCAAGGCCGCCGTCAGCGGGCAGCCGCTGAGCTCCGCGGCCGACAAGTACC